AAAAAAATAAATATTGATAACACAAGTTCACATGATATGTTACAGACGTTTTTGAGGTCATTGATGACGTGGCTCAAATGACAAATTTATGAGACTGGTTGATCCAAAGCAGATAATATGTGTCATGAGTTTGGACGGTCTGACAATAAGAGTATTTTCTAGCGTTTTCACATAGTGGTGAATTGACAAAATAGGAGGACAAGAATGTCATAAGAGTGGAATCTTTTTAAAGATAAAGAAATTAAAGCATATAGCTTGAAATCAAATCACTCATTCCAAAAACTTTCTTCATCACTCTCTCTATACTTTTCCTTAGCATTAAGACTTCTCCTCATCCATCATCTCATCTTCTTTTCACATTTTGCAACATAAAACAAACATCCAAAAACAAACCAAAACTTCCTCTTTTTTTCTTCAATGGGAGACAACACATCTCCTAACACCTCAAAAAAACAGAAAAAAGACACTGAAGTTCCACAAAACCATGCAAAACATACTAAGTTTTATAACCATTTTCTCTTCAAAGCTTCACTTCTTGTGATTTTTCTTGTTGTGCTTCCACTTTTCACCTCAGAAGCTCCTGATTTCATCAACCAAACTCTTCAAACAAGAAGTTGGGAAGTTCTTCAGCTTATATTTGTTGGCATAGCTGTTTCCTATGGACTTTTTAGCAAAAAAAGTGATGAAACAGACAAGGAACAACATAGCACAAAGTTTGATAATGCTCAATCCTATGTATCAGGATTACTTCATGTCTCATCTGTTTTCGATGATGATGATACCGATAATCATGATGAAAACAAAGTTCAAACTTGGAATAATCAGTACCATAGAGGTAAAAATCCTGTTGTAGTAGAAAACCATAGCCTTAATGAACAGAGAGCTACTAATTCAAGAATTGGCGAAAAGCCTCTTCTTTTACCTATTCGAAGCTTGAAATCGCGTGTTGTTGATGATCATTCGGGAGAAATTAATGGATTGAGTTCAAAATCAAGAAATGGGGATTTTGTAGTGTCAAGTCCTAAGAAATTGGTGGAGAGTTTAGAGGAAAATGTTGTTCGTCCATCGCCTATTCCATGGCGATCAAGATCAGCAAGAAACATGGAAATGAAAGAAGATGGTGATTTAGTTAAAAAGATTGAACCTTTTTCTTTAAGGTCTCAATCTTTTAGATTACCTAAGAATAGTAATAACTCAATGAATTCCTCTTCATCACCAAGAACTCTTTCTCCTTCACAATCAAGAAAATTGTCCTTTTCCCCAGAATCACAATCCAAGATTGTTAATGAAGATGTAGTGAGAAAGAAAAGCTTTCGTAAATCGAATCCACCTCCACCTCCACCACCACCACCACCACATTTCTTGTATAAGATGAGATCAACCTCTAGTGTTACAAATGGCAATGTAATGTCATCTGATAAGGAATTGAGGAGAAGCATAAGGAGTGTGCCAATGGGTGAAAAGGTCCAAACACCAAGAAAAGCATATTCAGCAACAACAACAGAGTTAAGGCCATTCATTGGGACAAAAGAATTCACATGTCCTGAAGAAGCATTTATAGGAACAACTGACAAAATGATGCATGAAAGTCACAACTTTTCGACAAGATCAAGATTTATGGAATTCCCAAATGAAGAGAAGAAAGAATATGTTGAGAAATTCCTTGTGGAAAGTGATCAAGAGGACTCAGAGAGTGGTAGTGAAGAGTATGATTACTTTGAAGAAAACGCGGAGAAAACAGAAACTGAAACTCAGAGTGATCATGAAGGACCAGATGTTGATAAGAAAGCTGATGAGTTTATCGCCAAGTTCAGGGAGCAAATTAGGCTTCAGAGAATTGAATCCATAAGAAGATCAGCAGGGCAAACTACAAGAAAACTTGTAAGATAACCTAATTATACTTGTTCAGTTTTCTGTTATACAGAGATTTTTAAACATATTGTAATTAATTATCTCTGACTCATCTACTATAATTCATTTGTTAACCATGAGGCTTCTTATGATGACAATATCTGGAATGAAAATCTTTTCATTATCCAAACTTTCTTAACAACAACCAGATCATGTAATCCTACAAACACGATCTGGGGAGAGTGATGTGTATGTGGTCTTACCCCGAGTGGAAGTAGAGAAAGTTGTTTCGGGTAGACTCTTGGAACAGGTAAAACATATCAAAATCAGCATGAAAAGTAAATACTATATAGTGAGGAAAACATATGACGGAAGAAGGCAAATAGTACGATAACTGGGGGTGGGCATAAATACCAGAAAATCGAATCGAATTGAAAAATTTTGTTGTCGGTTCTTTTTTTCGGAATTTTGATTCTTCGATTTGGAGTTTGATGTAAGGGTTTCGAAATTACGGTCCAAAGTTTTATTAAATAAATTTTTAAAATATTTATTATATTACTTAATTTTTAACTTTACTTGACTCATTTCAATTTTTATATTTAGAGCCTAAACTTAAATTGCAAAAATCTGAATAACAAAATAGTAACCCTAAAGCCATAAAATCTAAACTAAACATAAGTTTGAGCCGCTACTCGATGTTTCTACTTTCTAATTTTTACTTTATGATTTTATCATTTTATGTTATTACTTTGAAGTGTGAACAATAAATTGATGTTCTTACCTTTTATTGTTAGACTGTTAGTTGTTACTTTGAAGTTCAAAGTGTGAAGTAAACAATAGTTGTTACTTTATCATATTCTCTCTTTATTTTTATTCATACCAAGAAACCGATTTAAAAATACCAAATTAAATTGAACCGAAGTAGAAAAAATCGAACGAACCAAACCAATTTAGTTTGATTTGAAATATGATGCACACTTTTTTAAAATCGAATATCGAAGACTCAAACTAAAATTTGATTAAATCAAATCGAAAAATCAAATGTACACTCCTAACGATAACCAAATAAGGTTTAATTGTACTAGATGAGGGTCTATTGGTCTAGCTATCCAAAGGAAAGAGTATTGTCGACGTATATTTTACTTTCTTCAGATCAAATCATATCATGTGAAATTATTTGATAATATGTTATTGTTATTATTATTTGCAATTTACACGACTTTTGAATAATTTGGTTTTTCAATAATACTCATAGTATTTTATTATAGCAATATTTGTAGCATGAATTAAGACTTCGGAAGCACCTTTCCTCTTTTTATGTTATATAACTAAAGAGGTAAGCAACTTTGCTCAAGTGTTAAATATCATTTCTCCGTCTTTAATAGTAAGATTATAAGTTCGAATTATTCAAAAGATCAAAAAAATGTAAATGCTTTTTATGAAGGATTATGTAAAAGGTCTGAGTAGTTTACTGAATAAATTGAATATTTGATATATTTCAACATCAAAAAATTTCTCTTTATCGCGAGATTGATTAGATCTACCGCTTGCCACCCCAACCCCCCACTCCTCACCCCTATCCACCCCAAGTGTTTTCCTATATTACTACAAAACAATTTGTAATTTAAAATATTTAACGCCAAAAAAAAGTAAAAAAAAAATTGGTTTTTGATCATTTAAACGTTGTTTGAACAAGCTACATATAATGTATGGGCTGCTTGGAAGTTGGAAGACCTATCTTGGGGCCTTGGTATATAATTAGATAAGTTAATTATTGTATCCTTATTTATTGTTTTCTTGAACTTGAAGTCAAGTTTTCAATAAATGAATACAAGTAATAAGTTAATTTATTTTAGATTAATTAAATTGATCAGTGAATATATATTAATTAATCATTTAGTTTTCTTATGTTAATGAAATTCATATTTTGAAGGCTAATAATTCTCAAGGGTAAAATAGAAAGAATAATGTTATTTATACGTTGATTTTATGAAATGACATGTATAAAGAACTAAACTTCAGTCTCATAGGTCTGAAGCGATTAAAGCTTTAAATAGTTATGAATTATGGCTACATGTTAAATAACTTCCACCCAAATTGGCTATCTATGCAAACTAACGTCTTGGGCCTTTTTGTGGACTATAATTGCACATTATGTACTGATTACGCTATGATGACTTGTTATATAATCATCACACTCCAATTTACAATTTTATTTTCTATGCTCTAAAGTTCGATAAATTTTAATCATATCGGGAAAATCTTATTCATATATTCTGTATCGAATACTTAAAAGAATGAAATAATACTTATTACCTTTTTTCATAGTTCAAACTTCTGAGTTATTATTTTCCTACTTATACAAGATATCATAAGTATACATAATTGTGATATAAAATATTGTTAAAACTATTCAAGCAATCATGAGCAATTAAATCAATAATTAGAAACTATTTTATATTCCTAATGACTAGACAATGACAAAGGGACAAGAAACAGCTTCAAGACACTGAACTTGATGAACCAAACCAAAAAATGTTGTTCCTAGGACATTGTCTCTTTTAATATACTTTCAAAATGTTATTTATATTTTGAACGAAAGGTCTATTGAAAATAATTTCAATCTAATATAACTAAAATTTATGTACATGTTAATATAGTTCAAACTCCACTTATAAAACTACACCATTAATTTGTTTTTTGTTATTGTTAACATATTCACTTTTTGATTTATAACTTAGCAACTAAGGAAAGTTATTTGATAGGACAAGCAATTAGCAAAAAGTTAGAAATACAAAAATATGATCAAAAGACAAACTTTAAAACTTAATGCAAGTAAATCTATAACAAAAATAGTTGATATCCTTCATAACTTTACATCTAAATAGTCCTTTTCCTCTTACCCTACCAATAACCTCAAAATGGGGGGAAAAAGCAAACTATTAGTACTTACTACCAAATATAGTAAAAAAGACTAATAACCCTAATTTGTAAATACAAGAAAAAGATATAGTCAATAATAGAAATCAAAGATTCTTTGACCCACCAAATCCCCCATTCTCAAGTCCCAACAACCATATCTTAGACCATAAATATTCATATTTTTCATACACAAAAAACATTATGGTACACTATTACAAGTTTGTCTTGTCACTTTCATTTGACCAAATCGCCCTTCTTGCAAAATCATGATCTCGGATGTAGTGCATTGGCCCATAGGTTAAATGGCATGGGCCTGGGTTGGGCCTGGCCCATTGGTGTGGATGTGGGCCCAGATGAGGATGGCGGTGGGCCCGCGACACGCTCACATGAAGGGCACATGGTGAGGGTGGTGGGAGGGGTCATTTGCATGTAGAATTGAGGTGAAAGCTTTAATGCCCTCAACTCTTGAACTTCTTTTTGTAATCTCCTGTTTTCCTCTGTCAAATTCTCACAACATCTTTTCAAAAACTCACAGTCAACTTCTGTTTGCTTCAACTTTGTCCTGTTTACAAAAATCAAATCTCCATAAGAAAAAGAACGAAAAGAATACGTAGATTTAACGATCTAAAAATGTTGTCATAGCAAAAAGAAACAACTTTCGAATGAATTTAAGTTATATGTCATGTATGGACCTTTTACATGTACTTAATTGAGATGTCAGCGTACATAAAAGTGGTTAAATTGAAGCAATCATTTGTATCACTTAACATGAATAATTATTTTACTGATCTGATAATATAAAAATTCTTTGTTAGACGTTAAATTTCGAATGGATCTAGATATGTGTGACTCCAACAACTTAATTTATTACTATTGATCACTTCTAGAAATAATAATACTAAGGATCTTTTGATCTATATATTAAATTATTTGAGATTATAATTCTTGAACTAATTCATCTAATTTGAGAAGTGGGACAAAGTTGAATATTCAAGATCCAGGTATATGTTTAATCCAAATTCGAGAATATCGCATCTTACCCCGCGTAAATAATTGTGATGGACCAATAGAATGGAGCCAATCAATAAAGTATGATGAGGAGACAATTTCTTATTGTGGGGTTCCAAAATGTCTAACTAAAGACCAAAATAGCATATGATTTGGTCTCATACACTCAGATGAGACATGTTGTTTTAATCTTTAAGTCATTATTATTATTATTATTATTATTATTATTATTATCACTCCTATCATTTTCAATAATCATGATGATCATTATTCTTATAATAATTATAGCAGTGAAATAAAATACCATAAATACCCTTGAAAACAATACAAAATTACTAAAAATATCACACCTTGCCCTCCTATTCTGAAACCACACCTCAACTTGCCTAGGCCTCAATCCCAGTCTTTTAGCCAAAGCCAGCTTTTGTTTCTACACATAAAAACACAAATCTGTAAGCAAAAACATACAATGACCAAAATACCCCTCAAAGACAAATTCTTTTTTATCAAACTTACTGGATTGAGTGTGTTGTGTTCTTTGAAACTTTCTTCAAGAATGGCAGATTGGTCTTTTGATAGCCTTAATTTCTTTCTAGAAGTTTCTCCATCTTCTTCATCAGAACCACCTCTTTCCATTTCATGTTCCTCTTGATCACAATTATTTGCTTCTCTTTCACTTCTCTTATTTCCACTCACACTCGAAATCGTACTGTTCGGCGACGAAACGCCGGCTTCCTCGTCGGCGTCTCCCGTCGCCGGCAGCCGATTCACATCTATCCCCTTCAAAAAAGTCCTGGTCTCCACTCTACATGTCTCAATGTTCCGATCTGTAAAAAAAAAATATTTACACAATTCGATCATCACTTTAAAATATAATTACACATGATAGCGATGGTAATGTTCACGTAAAAAAATAAACATCCTTTTTTATTTGAGCCTGGGAAAAGCCATGGCCCGGCCCAATACCGCATAACGAAAGCTTAATGCACGAGATTTTAATCAGATCTGAAAGTGAAATGTAAGACATATAAAATTAATTACCTGAAGAAGGGAATAAGGAATCAGTCCAAGAAGTTTTTTGAATGAGATTGAAAGGTGAAAGATTGAGCTGAGTATTCTTCTTCTTGTTATTATTATTGTTATCTGGAAAACTAAGGCTAAGGCTTAACCCCAAATCTTCTTTTTCAACCATCATTTTTGTTTGCTTTTTTTTAGATTTCTTGAAGAAAAATAGAGCTAAAAAAAAGAGCAGTGATGTGAAAAGAATTTATTTATTTTTTTCAGGTAAGAAAGATGAGGAGAATTAATGGGGAGTTGTTGATTTAGAGAGGAAAAAAAGAAAAAAAACTTTGGAGAGTGATATGAGTAGGAAGTGCAAATGAGAAGGACTTATATAGAAAGGATACAATGCAAAAAATTTCCCCTTTTTACTTTTAATAAAATTATTTTTTAAAAAAACTCTGTTTGTCATAATTTATATGATTTATTTTTCTTTTTAATTATCTTTATATAGAAAATAATATCTATCACTCCTCTTAGATTATAAGTTTTAAAAAAATCTTTTTAAATTTTTTTTTGTGTCTGGTCAAATTATATTATATATTAATGAGATGAATAGCGTATTTTTTTCCCATTTTATATGTTAAATATTGGAGTTCATTGAATTTAAAATCGCAAATTATAAAATTTATTTTATAATTAACATTTCTAGTAAGATGATTTGTGTTTAAAATGTTTTTATTTAAATATATTACAATAATCTCGATCATTCTATCAGAACTCACATGAATAGTTGAATAGTAGCAGTGGGTTATTGCCCAAAGGTTCAAATGATGACAAAGGAGTGTCAGAGAAGGGGTACCAATTATCACAAATCATAACTTTTGCCTCCTCTAAATAATTACCTCCATTTTTTTTTCCACTTTTCTTTAGGAAGAGAGGACCCATTCCTTGTTCCCAAGAGACACTTGAATTGTTATTTATGGCTGTGGTAAATGTGAAAGGAAGAAGATGCAAATAATCAATGATAGAAGAAAGTTTTGTTCTCAATGATGTGTTGTGGACTTTGGAGTCTGTGTATTTGATGGGGTTTTTTTTTCATTTTATTAGAATATTTTGGTTACATGTTCAAACTAATTTTTGTTTTGATTAAATATATCTTAGTTTCTAATTAAATTATATTAATTTAATATTTTATACCAAAATATATATTTAAAAATTATACAAAAACCAATATAAATAATTAATTTTTCATATCAATTATGAAAATGTATATGATAAAATGAAATTTAAAATTTTAATAATTTAATCTGAAAAATTAATTATGACCATTAACAATAGGCGGAAAAGATAATACTAAGAGTGTGTTCTCTTTTTTAACAATCCTCTAGTGTTTGACCATTGACCGGTATCGAACAAAACCATTTAATGGTATTGGCTGATTGAATATCTTTTTCCACTTCTTTTTTTTTTCAAGTTTTTTTCTTTTTATCTTTTTCTGTGACCTGGGTAAAGGGGCTTCTTTTTCTGCCAAAAAAAGGAAAAAGAATCGACTTTATTTAGGTCTTATGATTTATTTGGAAATATTTCTTTTTCATACATCACATGGTTAAGCTCTTTTATACCCGTGCAACCTTTATTTTTCGTTTATTTAACAAGCAAAAAATGAAATGTAAAATTCATGTTTTATTTTACTGGATCAATTTTAAAGTAAAAGTCATGATTTCTTTATGCGATACCAGGGTTATACTCGTTGACTCTGAGGTGCATCATTCAATCAGATAGTGAAATATTCGATAAAATATATATGAATAAGGATTTACTGGGATGAATAGTTAATGAAACTTATCACACATCAGATCGAGTGAGAACCCTAAGATTAGATTAGCTAGGTTCAAGATCTATTTCTTGACATTGTAGCATAGCATGGTCCATCCAAACTATTATGCACCAATCTTGGTCCTATATTAAATTATTGGCTCATAAGATGTCAAGCACGGACTCGAGGTTCAAGAGTCACACATTGAATGAAAAAATAATGAATGGTCTTCGTATAAAGCGTTGGACAATCCTATATTCATAAGTTAACATTTGAAATCGAGTCGGACCAAATCTTTCTCTTTGATGAGAGGGACAAACAAATCCCCTCAAGATGAAACTACATTGTATATGTTAGGTTAAAAAAATCTCGAATGATGTATAGTGCATACTGAATTTCCTTAATTCCTTCGTACGTTTATTTTTTTACTTTTTTAAATTTACTTCTAAAAATTTTAACTATATTATTTATAAATTCATTGAAATGTAATAAAAAACAAAACACAATATTTGACCCCATAATTATAATTGGTTAAAAAAGATGCTAGGAACACCCATAGAAAACAAGAAGATGACCCACAAGCACTAGAGGATATGAAATGAATTATGTGCAACAATATCCTTGCCCAATAAGATTAAAACAAATAGCCAATAATGGTGCAAATCAAATGAATAATAATGAAAGGGAAATGCACATTGGTAAATTAATATATGATTGCAATTAATAGACACCTTTTTTTCTTGGCCAACATACCCAACTTCAATTGCCATTTGCCCATTTGAATTTGTCCCTACAACCATCTCCTTAAGGCTCCACTCTTTAGTCATTTCTTTGCGAAAAGAAATTTTGTACTCATTTAATAATCATATTATGTAAATAATTTTTATCACTTATAAAAGAATAACTTAATTAAAAAATATGTTCTTTGAAATCAACCTATAAAGATTAATTTTTTTTATGACTTTTGATTAAACAAAATTGTCTTATATTTAAAAAAAGATTTAATTTGAGACATCTGATCGAGGATATATAAGTATTGATTTACCACGTAATAAATATATTTGAGGGGCCAATATAACTATATGTGACCAATAATTGTACATACTAAGGGAACTTTATGGAACCATATATTAGAGTTTGCTAGAAAGTCTCAATCAAATAATTTGACATACTTATGAGTTTATAGAACAAAGGTCGCAATTAGGGACAACTAAGATGGATGTGGCCATTGAAGCAAAAAACGAAATGTTATATCAAGAAATAGACATTTCACTCTATAAATAATTAAACCAATTCACATGTTTTTGTCACTTAAATACATGAATTGATGAGAAAAGGAGTCAATTTTTGTGCTTCTAAAAATTGATATGATGAAATTTTGTATTTCAATTGAAAAAGTGAAATAAACTATTCTAATTTATAATCTAAAGATTGAATAACTTGGCTTTGAATGAAACTAATTTAGAGTAGGGCTATTCAAATATTAGTAAGTCGTTTTGTAGATAGATAAAAAAAATATTCCTTTATTACTTTTCTTATAAATTACACAAATGTTTGATAAGTAAATAGAAAATAAGTTACTGTAATATAAAATTAATATAAAATTTGGTTAATAATTTACAAACTTTTTATAATTAATACATATATAAATTATATAGTAATGTATGCCTTATATAGAAGGTGAAATAATTAATGCTTACATACCTAATATGTATATGAAATAAAATATAAATCACTCATTGTCATAGTTTATCGATATTAATAATACTTGTATAATCAAATAAGGTCGGAGTCGTCTTATCTTTAAGGGTTCATCCGAACTCTTCCTCAACAAAAAGGTATATTATCTTTTATATTGATAAACTAATTTTTTAAATTTATATAATAAATATTATCCTCTTCAACTATTTCATGTATTATTATTTTAAATTTTGAATTCTTTATCGAAAATTTTGAATCCGCTTTGGAAGAAGAGGAGGTAGTGGGGGTGGGAGACAAGGAAGGGTGGTGATCACGTGGGTCAAAGAAAGTAAAACACCCTTAAAATCCCAGAACTCACGTGCTTCATACCCCAACCATGTCGTGCTGGTAGACACGTGGTTTCACGTATCACTCCATTTCCTCTTTTTATTTAATAAAGCAAAAATATGGATTTTATTTTATTAACTTACCTCTTAAGAAATTTATTAAAATTTTAGAAAATTAAGAAATAAATTATTTCACAATTAATCACTCAATTTTTTTATTACTTTCTTCAATTCAAATTAATTTAATCACTAAAATATTTTTAATTTTTTAAATTAATTAAATTTGTTTAATTTTTTAGATTACTTTTAGATATTTTTTTAATTTTACACTTCATTAATTATTTTAAATTAGTTATTAATCAATATTTAGTTATTTTAATTTAAATTTGACAATAAAGTATGCCTAATTTATATCTTAATTTTATTTTCGTAAAAAATGTGAAACACCTCAACAATTCAATTAATTATATAAAGGAGTATTATTATTATCTCATATTATGAATAAGAAGAAAGTTATAAATTAAAATTTTCATATACTAAGTAAATATACATCAATTTTTAAAATAATGAATGAATAAAAATAGACGATTAAGATGGGAAAAATATTGTTTCAGTCCCAATTTATATAATACATTTTAAATTTTTAGATTTAATTAAATTTATATTTGATTATAATTTTTTAATTGTTCTTTATATATTTAGAATTATTAATTATGGCGACTTGTAATAAAAATAAAATGTATCACATAAATCGAGACAGACGAAGAAACAAGAAAGCTTAATTGGTGGGGTCGCACTTCCCATACAGCTCGTGCGTGTCCTCTTGTCCCCCTATTACCCGACAAGAACTCCACCTACAATCATTTGAACTCCTCTGCTAATCCTTAACCTTCCTCACGTGATGTTCTCACGCGTGTTCTTCAACCACAATTTCCCTTTTTTTATTTTCTTTTTCTTTGTGACTAAAAGAAGAAGTAAAAAATAAAAATTTAATTTAAAAAATTACTAGTGAAATTTGTATTAATAAAATTTAGAAAATAAGTTACTTCACTTTTCAGTCTAAATAACATAGTTCTTGAAAAAGATTTAGCTAAACGCCTACTATTTTTTAAAATAAAGTAAAAATTGACCACAGTAATGAAAATGCAAAGAGAAGAGATTTATTTCTTCCTAAAAATATTAAAAGGTCATCTAACTAGTAACATATTTATTTTCTTTTTTAAATAATACTCTCTTCGTTTGATTTTCAATTGACATTTATAAATAATTTTAAAAAATCTAGTGAGTCATAGGGAATTTCAAAATTAAACTCTTCTCACGACATCAATGGGGCCGGGATCAAGAAATATAAAGGCAAAATATGTATAGAAATATGTTATTTTATCTTGATTTCAATTGTCATTTATGTCGTCTTACTTTGTATGTCTATTAATATACACCTAAATTTGTATAAATTTAAACAAATAAACACACTTATCCTATATGATATAATGTACATAGATCGCTATGTTAAA